CTCAGTCACTGCGTATACTGTTCTCTCTTGTGCCCGCTAATTTGTTCAACAATGGCTTCCGCTGGACCCCCACGACCCCAGAAAAACCTTGAACTACCTGGCCCAAGCCGCCCCAAGCCTAAGAAGATACGACGAGCTTTAAGCTATGAAGTTAAATACAAAATCGTGCAGAATTTGGAGAAAGGAACGAGACAAGTTGATTTGGCTCGCCAGCATGGCGTGAACGAATCTACGATCCGGACGATCAAGAAGGATGCTGCCAAGATTAAAGAACACATGAGCATCACAAAGTCTGCAGGTGCTTCAATGGTGAAGTATTGTCAGAATAAGGTGCTGCTCAAGACTGAGAACTTACTGGTGAGCTACTTAATTCGTCAGGCAAGACGTAACAAGGCTGTGGACACGCGGGCAGTGTAGGACTACGCTCGTGAACTGTACACATCAGTGGAGCGCAAGATGGGAATTGCAGAGTCCAAACCCTTCACTGATCCTCTGGGTGGCTGCAAGGGTTTAAGAAACGGAACAAGATAACCAACATTAACATTGTTGGTGAAGGAGCCAGTGCTGACCGTGCTGCCGCCATGGATTTTCCTCCATTCTTACGAGAAGTTATTGAGGAAGGACAGTACACCGATGACCAGGTGTTCAACATGGGTGAATCCGGTCTGTTTTGGAAAAAATTACCTTCCAAGACCTTCGTTGTCAAGTCTGCTAGCAAGTGTCGGGGCCGGAAGTTGCAGAAGGAGCGCATCACCGTCCTGTTTACCACCAATGCCTCCGGTACCTGTAAGCTCAAGTTGTTGGTGATCCACACAGCCCGCAAGCCACACGCATACAAGAACATGGACATGACCAAACTAAATGTCGAATGGCTAACCTCACGTAAGGCGTGGATGTTCACTGGTCTGACGACTGTTTCATTCCTGACGTGAAGAAATTCTGCGCGCAAAATAATGTGCCATTCAACATTTTGTTGCTGCTTGACAACGCACCAGGACACTCGCCCCTACCGTTGGATCGTCACCCCAGTGTAAAAGTGGTCTTCCTTCCTCCCAATACTACGTCGTTAATCCAGCCCATGGACCAGGAGTTGATATGCAACGTCAAGGCTGCATTCTCCGCAAAGAAGTTTAAGCTCCTGAACGACTACACCAACACCAAAGATGAGTTGCGTAACCTTCTGAGTGGCACAGATAGCGAGAGCGACGACAAGGATCCAGAACCAGAGTTAGCAGAGCATGAAGTGCGAGTTAAACAGTTTTGGAAAATGTTTAACGTAAAGAAAGCTGTTGATTTCTTGGTGGAGGCATGGGGCAGCTGTCTGTGGCAACGATTCGTCACGCGTGGTGGCATGTGTTGCAAGGTATCCCAGGTGGGAGGCAGAGGCAACCTGTGGCTGGTGAGGTTCAGTCTGTTGCAGTGGCAGTGGACCTTGCAAGAGAAGCTGCACAGTGTTACAGCTGCAGGCTTCTCCCAGACCACCAACGACGACATCATGGAAGTAATCAGGGATCCTGAGGTGACTGCCGACGAGATGTTGGAAGACAATGATGTCAGTGAGGAGGCAGGTGGTGCGGCAGCAAGAAAACAGAAGTTAACTCATGGTGATGTAAATAATGCCATCGAGTTTGCCGAGAAACTCAAGCTCACCCTTTCCAAAGACCCTGTCAATCACCGGTATGAAGTCTTCAATAACCTTCTAGACCAAAGTATGGAGCAGTACATCAAGATATATCACGACCACATCAACACTAGCCGTCAGCGTATCATCACCGACTTCTTTGCCCGCAACCCACCACAGCCAGCCCAAGTCAGTGATAGTGACAGTGATGGTGACTTTGAGGGGTTTGTCAGGGAGGCCCTGACATCTGTGGTGGATAGTGATAGTGATTCACCTGAGGGCCACTAATCTGCCCTCTGCCTCGGAACCAGCCCCCATCCTCGTATGCCGACCCATCTCTTCTACTAACGTAAGTGTTAAACCTTGATTTTTCTTTTACCTGGTACAGTATATTATTCTCTTATTGATATTTCTCTTCTATATTATGTGTGTGTGCATACCATCATAAAATGAAGATACTATTTTTACTACAACGTACGTATTGTGTCGAAAATGTGGAGTTTGGGGGTCGGCCCAGTCTCTATTTCAATTAATCCCATGTATGTTCTGTTATTTCGTTTACGCGTTTCTCGTTTTACGTGGACCCCCACGGGTTCAATTAACCGCGTAAATGCAGACTATACTGTACATCAATATCCTCCACATATTCCCTGTAACTACTATCCCACCACTTTCCCAATTTAATAAATAGTTTCACAGACACTTCTGAAAAATTGCACTCAATTTAAGTGGATATGAGGGGTATGTGCCTTTGTTGTCAGTATTCCATCTCACAGAACCTCTGCTTGCCAATAGTTTTTTATACCCCACACTTGCAATGTGTGTGGAATTCACTGCCACAGATTTTTTCTGTATTATAATATAACTGTTTCAGATATCCTCAACCTCTGGTGAGGGAACACCTCACTGAATGGATCTGACAGTGACACTGTTTGATCTATCCCTGCACCAACTGTTCTTTAAAAGAAACCTAAAAGACTAAACCCCTTAAAGAGCCAAAGCACATATTGTCATAAGATTAAATAATGCTTGAAAAATATTATGCTACTTCAAATTGTGAAAAGACAATCTTGCCCAGCTAAACCTTAGTTCCATATCTACCATTTGTAATATGATGGTCTAACCAAACTCTTACCTCAAAATTTAGGCTACAGGTCATCTCCATACCTTCATACACCACTGCAGTGCTTACAACAAATGCTAAAGAATTCTGCTTTTAAGTTAAGCAAATAAATTAATAAAGCCTGTGCCACATACTGTACTTGCAATACATGTTAAAATGTGCATCAAGAACGAAGACTTTTACTATGAGCAACCATTTATAAAAAAAAATAGAAAAAACAGTAAAGAAAAACATGACAGGAAAATGAACTCTAGATGTGCAATATGACTGCATGTTATCGTAAGTCTATCCCCTATCACATTTTTTCTGATGTCTTGAGGGTGGGTCACGGTAACGTCAGGTTGACCTACCGTACATAATTAACCCGCTCTAAATCCAGCTAGTGAACCTATCCCTTAACTTTTAATTAGTCATAACATTGTTTAGGCATTTACTGAATAATATTTGTTGTGGAGAAGAAAAAAGGGGTAACAACAAAAAATATATAATACTGCACGGAAGAAATTAATGTGTGAAGTTGGGTTTCTTTCCCCAGGCTTGCAAACCATTTCTCAGGGAGACCAGAATAAAGCACAACAGATTACAGTACTTTCTTTTGTCAATCAGTACCTCCAACTGCTGTACCTAACCAGATGTGTTCTGTTATGGCATTTCCCTTTAAACAAAATTTAAGTAGGAAAAACAACACCACCACCTAAAGGGGAGCTCATTATTTTAGTATAATACAATTTATATTCATAGCAGTTTAGGAACTTTTATACTATTCTATGGGCAGACTCTTATACTGTATAACCTACTTCCTATACCTCAACCTAGTCAGGGTTATACCACCACTGCATCTGGTATCCCTTCACTCCCTAGCCACTAGTGTCAGATTTCCTACAGCTGCCATCACATAACATTGTACAGTAAATATGGCTCACAATGTTCCTGCCACATTTTTCTTGTGTCTTATTCTCAGTTTATCATATTTCTAAGGAAGTATTAAACTTTTCCATTTGAATAATTACACAATTTTATACATAAAGTGTGAGTTCATAAAAAAATGTATCTAGGAGTTATCTGAAGACATTTTCAAGTTCTGAATCAAGGAAACAGGCCTGACTCAAACAACTATCCTTCAACAAAGTTACTTTACTTTATTGCTTGAAGTTAAAATGAACCTATTCAAAGTAAAGGAAATTATGAAAATATCAAAAAGGAAAAAGTATGAACATATCAAAAGCAGAAAAAACATAAAAAAATACAGTACACCATCACACATACAGTAAACAAACAATCTTACCAACCCTATTTATTTCATATAAGTCCTACTGCGTTAATTATTTGCACGTCTTTACACCCTTCACCTAGAAACTCTAATTACAAATACTGTAGTCATGAAGAAATTTATGCCACAGAGAAACATACTGTACATACAGTACTGTATATTGCGAGTTACATTTACATGACAGTTTAGATATGCCTTTGTTCTCTAGACCAGATGACTATAACATTCTGTGTTAGTGATTGCAAAGTAAACAAAACTGGTGCTATAACGTGCAAAAATTCCCAAGAGAACAGGAAAAAATAAAAAAATAGAATATGTTATTACATCATCACCATGAACCAGCTCACCATGGAAAATATGAACCAGAGTGCAAAAAATAAATAGATACAACAAAAGAAGTATGACCTAATGTATGTACAGTAATACAAAAAAAAATAGTGTAATATTTAATACAGTCCAGTACTGCATATGTAAAGATTGAAATATGTAAATACGTATTACCTAAAATGTGTAGTGTAAAATGTGAAACAAAAGAAATTGTACCTGAAATATATCATGGTAAGAGTAAATAAAAAAATGTTCCAACTTAGAGTTTGTTAATGACCAAATAATGATGGAAAACTTTCATACATGCACTGAAAAAAATATTTTCTTTTACATAAATTTTCAAACAATATCACTACCTATTCAAAATCTGACAGTGCAGTAATAACCAGAGAAGCTTATTCAGATATGTTAAATATATGAGTAACAAGATAAACCTCTGAAAAGCAATTGGTCATCACCGCTCTGCTAGTCTCAATCTACCAAACTCTAAACATCAAGGAATCGACAGGATTACAAAATTGGATCCACGTAACTACCACTTCTGACAACAACAGAAATAACAAAAACAACACCAACATCTGCTCACAGTAAGTAGCTGCCAACTTGAAGCTCAGGTGAGAGTGTGAGGAATTCACATCTAAGCACTCCACAGAACTAACCTTTATCTTCTCTAGCTCTTCCTCTGTACGAGCTAACTGTTTCATCAGGTCCACCACTGGGCCACCTGAAGATATGGACGACTGACTTCCATCTTCTCCATCCTGAACAGTAGTGAAAACAGTTAAAAATATATACTTGTAATTTACTTACTACTGTATAAAGCAACATAGTCTATGTACTATACAGTATACTGTTTACCTGCATTATCTACAGTATATACAGGTACACACTAAATTGTATACCAGTACTGTAGTGCCTGCATTACCTATATACTGTACATACTAAATTGTTTACCAGTACTGTACCTATACTGTCTATATACAGTACATGCTAAATTGTTTACCAGTACTGTACCTATACTGTCTATATACTGTACATGCTAAATTGTTTACCAGTACTGTACCTATACTGTCTATATACAGTACATGCTAAATTGTACACTGTACCTTCATTGTCTACTGGGTACTGTATATACATGATGAAGCAACATAAACTTGGTTGATGATTTCTCTGAATAAATATTTACAGTACAATATCTCACTATCGATGTAATGTACAATATACAAATTCCTCTAACTGATCATTCTTGAATATCAAACATGGTATACTGTGTCTACTAAGCTAACTTTACTTAGTGTGATGTCTTTTCTCAAAATCAGTTCTCTCCCCAGCATACTGTATTTCAGTTGTTCATCTTTTCCAAATTTTTAAATGTGAAAGCTCAATACAATGTTCAGTGAGATCGTTAAGATTTATAGTTTTCACTCATGGTAATCGATAATTAATATCGTAGTATGTTTTTGAGAAAATAGACACTAGATGAAGCCTTTTCCAAGCGAGTACAATTCTTAAATGGGATTCTACATTAATTGTCACCCTGTAGTTTCAATAATTCAAGTCACAAAATACTACATGCAAATAACAAAAACTAACTGCTACCTTAGTAAAGCATCAATTTTCTATCTGATTTTTTTTAAGTGTTAAAAAATGTACATTATGGGGTAGGTTTTTTTAACAGACTCGATAGTTCAACTAAATATGAGTTCCCACTACCTGTTCACCTGTATCTGTACCTACCAGTAATTCCACACTGCCATAGAAATGTTTAATAATGTGTCTAAAGATGGTGTGAGCATTAACCGCCTCCTTAAAAAGAATTATACAAATTTGCTGGACTTTGGTCTAGGTATTTCTAGAGTGGAGTGAACCAAGTTCACATTACCAAATAAAATTTATTAACACATGACATCACTTTGACCTATTAACCTGGATATGTCAGATGCTTTTATGTGGAAGTTTATATTTCCTGATTAAATTTTAAAAGAGGAATTGTTACAGTATTTCATAATTTTAGCCTTAACATTAGTCACTGATGCTCATCTTTAAACTTTGGGGCATCAACAAAAAAAAGTATGGTACAGGTTGTACCTCTCTAGTCCGGCATTCTGTGGTCCGGAAACTCCCATGGTCCGGAACGATTTTAGTTTGCCCAATAGGTAGATAGGCAGCTCTTTTTTTTTTCTTTTCTATTTTTACTTATTTGAATTATTATAATTATTATTACAGGAGTATTAAATTTTTGTCCCTCAGGCCCCAATGTGGGTCAGTGTCCTATGCCCGGGTGGGCTAATCCCCTTAAAAAAAAAAAAAAGCCGCGGGAAATTAAGGTTTGTTTACATCCGGCAGTTCGGCTGCTCTCTCTCTCTCTGCTTGTCTATACACATGTACAACATTTAACCCTTCAATATGTATGAGCAGTAAATAAGTGTTGCTTTCATATTCTTATGTAGAGTAATGACGATATGTTTTCACATGTGCGCACTTACATACGCGCAGTCTCACTTTTTTTTTTTACCATTAATGGTTAGCTACTTATATTGTTCCATTTATTAACATTAAATAATATTACAGGTACTTCAAACAACCATATTAATTTTTTTACATTAATTTTTCTACAGCTAAAATCAGGGTCTTATTTTCTTCAGTTTTATATGAAGAACCAATCAGTCACTGGTTTTGTAAGCTTTAACATACACAATGCCAGCAGCCGTCTCGTCTCTAATATTCCACATATTATTAATAAATTGTATTGTTAATTTTGCACACACAAACATTAATTCAATAAAAACAAATTCAGAAACATTTATTAAAATATATATGAACAGTAAATAAGTGTTGCTTTCATATTCTTATGTAAAGTAATGACGATATGTTTTCACGTGTGCGCATGCGCACTTACATACGCGATCTCTTTTTTTTCTTTACCATTATCGTTAGCTACTTCTATTGTTCCATTTATTGACATTAAATAACATTACTTAAAACAACCATATTAATTTTACTACAGCTACAACCAAGGTCTTATTTTCTTCAGTTTTATATGTGGAACCAGTCAGTCACTGGTTTTGTAATCAACGAAAACAATGCTGTGTCATTTCCTCATATATTTTAATATTCTACGTATTATTAATGAATTATATTGCTCATTTTGCACACATCAACAATAATTCAATAAAAAAGACATTCAGTCATAAACAATAATAAATCTTTTGTACATAAGAGAAATGACGCTGTTTACACGATTATGCACGTCGTCTGCACGTTGGCGGGCCGTTCATACCCGTCGAAATTCAAGTTTCCGCCGTCAAAATTTTTATTTATTTATTTTTTTGTGTTCCAATAAAATACGTTAAGAATTAAAAACTCGCGAAATTTCAGAAGATACTATACGACATTTAACCCATCAATATGTCTTCAAAGAGACCATGATGCAGAGAAAGTGGTGCTAGTGCTTCCAAGCATAAGCACAAGTCACTATCTATCCAGGAAAAGGGTGAATTTCCATGGTCCGGCACCGGTCAGGTCCCGAGGTTGCTGGACTAGAGTGGTACAACGTGTACAGTACTTTTTCTTTGGTGTTGTCCTTAATGTCTCTTATTACTGCAGTATTATCAGGGAACTCTTCTACATTTCAATATCACTTAACTCTGCAAAATTACATTCATATTCTGTACATCTAGTGATAATTTAAAACTATTATGATCTCCAAATGAACTAAAATTGCAATCAATAATAGAATGAATATGTAAGAGAGTACTGTATGGATATTGCCTCAGATTATCAAGTGAAATCAAAACACTGTAAATCTGGGCAACTAAATGCTACACCTAAAAATTCATATTTCAAGGATAATTCCTGTTGGGTATGTCATACAGTATTACTGGACTGATTTTTTTTTACCTTATTTCTCTCTACACCTTCCTCACTATACAATTCAGATCCTTCATAAAAAATTTACCTGTTCATCATCAGCCTGTAATTTGGCTGCTTGCTGGCCTTTGAGGAACATCTGTAAATACATCTTCTGGTGACGAAGCTCAGCCTCGGTAAGTTCATCCTTCAACCTTGTCACGTCTCGCTCTAATTCACGGATTCTCTCTTGACTTCGATCGTACATTGGTCGCAGTTCAAAATACCTGCAATTTATTTTTAATTAAAGGCTACTTTCACTGAATAACATTAAGAGTATTCTAAAAAAAAAAGAATGAACAGTCTGATTATTTTTTTCTGTTAGTGCATTTTTGAAGGATTGATTAATAAAACTGAGAAATAATATACAGTAATTCAATATTACTTGAGATTAGCATCACTGAGTTTTGAGAGTAAAGCTTCCACACGATCATTGTGCTTCTCCTTCAGTTCATGGTACTCGTCCATGTGGTTTCTCTTCAGCTGGTCTTCACGTCTCTCGTACTCTTCTCGGAGCCTTGCTTCTGTCTCTTCTACAGCTGTCCATGGATCTACTTCATCCTCATCCTCATCAACACGCCGTCCTCTCAATGATCCTCGGCTAGCTTCAAATGGATCCTGAAACTTTGGGAATGACAGTGAAAGAAGTACATAGCTAGTTCACAAATATTGTACGGTATTACAACAACCTATTTTAAATGTTAGCAAGTCCAAGAGGTTGTCTCATACTGCAAATTGGGACTATGAGCCATCCATTTCTCATAAAAATCCTGGATTAAAGCAATTTGTTTCCATTTTGACACTTATTTGCCCCATGATGCACCCCATAAAAAATAAAAACATACCCTCGATGAGAGACATGGAGATGTGAGATCTTCATAATGGCCAGAATCTGCCAAAGATCGGGTGAGATCAACAGAATCTGATGTGGTTTCCGCTACAGAACCTGCTGCAGGAGACACCACAGGGACACGTGCTGCTCCAGACTCTGACGCACCTGCAGCAAATTATTCATTATCAGAACAGTCAAGTACATTTCTACTGCAACACATTGGTTGGAATATGTGGGTATTATCAATTGTTAAGGAAAACCAACCTAATCAAATCCAACCTTGTCACTCACTCTGGTATTTAAGATATAATCACCTATGTTTAAGCCCTGAGATATTGCAAATGTTCTCGTTATGGACTTTAGTCCAATTTAAAGAATAAAAGAATAATAAAAGGACATTTAATTCGAAATAAAAATGTCTTCATCTTATGCTATACAGAGGCAGTATAAGTGACACACCAGTAGTCAAATTATCCATTAAACGGCTGAGTTCAGGTTCACTTCCTTCTGAGGGTGTGGCTGAGGTCTTTGGTGTAGGGGTTGAGGGGGTAGCTCGGGGCTCTGTGGCCAGGCGTCTCTGTGGATCATTTCTTAGGTCTGTACCATTGCAAATGGCTGGTCTCCTGATGGTGATCTTGTCATTTCTTTCTGTGTTGGTCTGTAAGAATTGCATAAGTAAAGTAAAATATCAGTTACAGTATTCCTTCAATAAAATTTTGCTCAGTCTGGTTACAAGGAACACAAAAGGTGTCCTATACTATACAGTCAGTTCTGCTATAACACATGTTTTGTCAACGCGAATTGGCTTTTACACGATTGATGAATAGAAGAACGATATTTGTAAAACGCGAATGCGTGTTGGCTGTAACGCGATTCCACTCGAACGTTTTAAGTGTACTGTCGCTTGGCGCGGGGTTATGCAGTGTTTACAGTTCACGTTCGACATCACATGTTCAATTGATTCATGTGTTTTGTTTGTGAAGAATTGCAGAAATAATTTATGTAATATTTATGTATACAGTATATGTAAATTGTAAAATTTTAAATAAAAGAGAAAAAAAAAGCATTTTACACCCACACTCTCAGTTTCCATCACACGATCAGTTGAAACACGTGGGTTGTTTTGAAGCATCCTCAGTGATTTTTGCTTACTATTTCTCAAATTTTGTGGTATTAACAGTGAATATGGAAAAGAAGAATATCTCCAAGAAGCGTTCTGGTGATCGCATTCCCGGTGGTGATCGTAAAAGAAAGGCTATAACACTTGAAGATAAGCTTGATGTTATCAAGCATTTTGAACATAAGAAAAGAACATGTGATATTGTGCGTGCAATGGGAATAAAAGAGGCTACTTTACGCACCATTAGAGACAATGCAGGAAAGATTAAAGTGACCTGTATTGCTGGAAAAAGTTTGAGTGCTAACAAAAGTGAGAGATCATGGCCAAAGGAACTTGAGGAGATGGAACAGCTTCTAAGTGTTTGGAAAGAAGATCAAATGAAAAAGCGATCTGGGACCAACTTTCTCACCATTAAAGAGAAAGCCTTATCAATATATGAGGACCTAAGAAAAAGGCTGAAAACCCTGCTTATGTGATTGCCTTTAGTGCTAGTAGCAGATGGTTTTCTGGTTTTAAGATCCGCTATGCGTTTTATAATGAAAAGTTATGTGGTGAAGCAGTCAGTGCCGACGAAGCAAGTGCACGGATATTTCCTCCCATTGTGAAGAAATTGATTCAGGAAGAAGGCTACACCTTAGACCAAATTTTTAATTTGGATGAAACAGGTTTATACAGGAAGCGCATGCCAACTAGAACTTACATTTCCAAGAATGAAGCACATGCTCCAGGCTTTAAGGCTGCGAAGGAATGTGTGACAGTGTTGTTGGGTGCAAATGCTAGTGGAGACTTAAAGCTTAAGCCTGTGCTGGTGTATCACTCTGTCAACCCGTGAGCTTTAAAGGGTTACATAAAGTCTACTCTAGGTGTTCACTTTGGGTCAAGAAAAAAGGTTGGATGACGGTATAAATTTTTTCTGACCTTATTGTGGATGTTTTTGAAAATGTTTCTAAAAGTTATTGCAAGAAGAAGAATGTCGATTTTAAGATTTTCCTCATTTTAGATAATGCATCAAGCCACACTCCCACCATTGCTGAGCTTTTTGACAATATCAAAGTGCTCTTTCTACCTCCAAATACAACATCTCTCCTTCAACCAATGGACCAAGGAGTAATAGCAGCCTTCAAAGCCTATTATTTGAGGCGTACATTTAAGAAACTTATTGCAGCTACTGAGGAAGGAAATGATAGGCCAGTGTTCTTCAGTTTTGGAAAAGTTTCAACATCAAGCATGCATATGACATCATTGTGGAGGCCTGGGGTGATGTAAGTAAGGACTGCTTGAGTGGAGTTTGGCGGAAGCTTCTCCCAGATTTCATTCATGATTTTAAAGGCTTTGATGCATCAGAGGAGCTCCCAAAAATATAAGAAAATTGTGTTTTTCTTGCAAAGCAAGTTGGCTTTGCTGAAGTGGAAAGTGCTGATGTTGAGGAACTGCTCGAGTCCCACTCTGAAGACCTCTCTACAGAAGATCTACAACAACTTGTTGCTGCTGGGGAAATTGAAGATGCCGAAGATGATGGGAGTGCAGGATGCAAAACCACGAGAGCTTCCCGCTTCTCTTTTGTCTTCTATCCTGAGGGAAGTTGATAAGCAGTTGCAGCTCTTGGAAGACAATGACTACAATGCAGAACGGAGCAGGATTGCAGTTCGTGGTGTTAAATCTTTTTCAGCACCTTATGAACAGCTTCTTTGTGAAAGAAGAAAGACGGCAAAGCAGCAAACATTAGACGTCTTTTTTAAGTCAACCCCCAAGAAGCAGTCTGAAGACACTGAACCACAGCCATCCACTTCTGGAATTAGACGTTTTTTTCTTCCCTCCCATGCAACCAAAACTGCACCTGATGATGATGATACTGATGATGATGATGACAACTCTCAACTCCTGTCTGCATGACTCCTCAACCTCAAATCACCCTTCTCCCCCATCAAGTTATATTCATATTTTTTCAAGGTAAAGTGTTACATTTACTGTATGATTTCATTATTAGATATGAATGTAACATTTATTTAGACTGTGCTATCCTTTGTGTTAGGCTAGCTACTAAATTTTTTTCTATTTTGAGTAGCCTGCACCTAACCCTATTTTCTCCATAAGCCCTGTTATTTCTATTGCGCAAATTTATACAACGCGAGGTTTTACAAGAACACAACTATCGCGTTATAGCAGAAATGACTGTATACAGTACAGTACCGTTCTGTATAATTATAAGAATTATAATTTTCATTGAAGATATTTATGCCTTTTGATAAGACTGACATCCACACACTGTATTCCATTTTTAGTATTTCATACTTCATACTGAATTAAATCTAAACTCTTTCACCAGTACTGTGCATTTAAAGTACAGGGGGTCTCCGGGTTATGAACAGGTACTGTTCCTGAGGATGTTCTTAAGTCGGAAATGTACATAAGTCGGAACACATGTTATGTGCATACCTGTACTTACAGAACAATGTTTAAAATCCCACTATATCACAGCCTAAGTCCTTATATACATCTAAAATCACTTAATTTAAGACAAAAGAAGAAATCGAATGACAAAGTACAGAAAATTATAGTAAAAAATAAGTCATCACGTAAATAAAATACTGCAAATTTAAAGTTTAACACCGTTTGTAGCGGCGGGCATTCGTAAGTCAGACGTTCATAAGTCGGGGACCCCCTATACAGAATAGTATAATCTTACATACCAAGTCTGGTGGGTCTAAAGTGATAGGTATATAATACTGTACTGTACAGTGTACAGTATATATCATTTTCCAATTGTTTCCACATCAATACCAAGAAACTGGTGGACTTATAGCTTCTATGGATACCTACAGCCCCTATCTATACTACAGTATTTTGGTCTTGGAAAAATCTTTCAGCCATCAACCTGGGCCTCAGTGTGAATCAAGATGCAAAGGAGGAATGATGCACGCCCACTCTCCCCTATGAGAAACAATCAACTTGTAGATGAAGCTGATGGCATTTTATTTGCTCCAATAACTTATAAAACAAAACAAATATATTTAAATTTAAAAAGATAAAAATATTTTCTTCTTAAATCCAGTACTATACTATACTGCACTTAAAAAACACTATCCTGCAGTGGCAGAAATTTGAACCTCAATTGTCCATAGGAATTAGAAAAATACACCTTATTTATTTATCTCGCATTAAATCCTTCTTATACATCCTTTGTCACTTAGGTCTTATTAAATACTTCCATACATCCTATTTGTCTTTCTCTCATTAAATCCTTCTATAGATCATTGTTGCTCATCTCTCCCCCACAAATCACTCCTTACCTCAGCCTCATCTTCCCGCTGCTGAGATCGAGCTTTAAGTAGTCTCAGCTCTACCAGTTCTCGTGTGAGGCGTGAAATCTCAGCATCTCTCAGGTGTACTTCTCGTCGAGCTTCTGCGAGTTGGTTCTGGAGAAGGAATTGCATGATTAATTTCACCCTCATCTGTTTAAGTTCTAACACAATCATACCCCAATTTAACACGTTACAGTACTCCATTAATTCTAACCATTTTCGAAACATTCTTGTCAACTTGTGGTGAACCTTTTCTCTGTAAACTTTCCCAATTATTCTTTACTTTATCCTCTTTGCCCCTGGTCTACCATTTGGGTGGTGGGTCAGTTCTCTGTTACATACTGTTGGCAAGTACAGTACAGTACAGTACAGGTTGACAATCCCTTATCGGAAATCCTTGGGACCAGACACATTTCGGATTTCGGAATTTTTCGGTTTTCAGAATGATTTTTTTTTTTTTTTTTTAGCCCACCGGCACAAGTCATTGACCCACATTGGGTCCTGGGAGGCAAAAAAAAGATGAAGGTGGTGGTGGTGGTGGTGGTGGTGGTGGTGGTGGTGGTGGTGGTGGTGGTGGTGGTGGTGGTGGTGGTGGTGGTGGTGGCGACACAGCGACAATAATAATAATAATAATAATAATTCATAGGTCTGGAACGTGTTTCTCACTTTTTATCTTTTTTCATTCTTGTATTTCTTTATTATTATTATTATTATTATTATTATTATTATTATTATTATTATTATTTTATTTATACATTAATACGGTATTATTGTTATTATTATTATTATTACAGTATTATTATTATTATTATTATTTTATTTATACATTAATACGGTATTATTGTTATTATTATTATTATTATTAATTTTATTATTATATTTTCTTATTATTATTATTGTTATTATTATTATTTTATTTTTGTGTATTTTTTATTAATATTTTTATTTACTATGAATAATTATTATTATATTAGTATTACTATTACATTTTTGTCCCCCAGTCGATGTGGGTCAGTGATCTATTCTGGGTAGGCTAATCCCAAAAAAAAAAGAAAAAAAAAATGCTCCACAAAAAAATTTCGGTTTTCAGAGCTTTTCGGTTATCGGAATTTCGGATAAAGGGTTGTCAACCTGTACAGTACAGTAATGGGCATGCACAGGCTCTTGAATGTACCTGAACATGTGCCAGTGTTGGTCAAATCTAATCTTAAATGAGCTCACACTTAGTGCCATCACAACATTCTCTGGCAGGTTATTCCAAGTGTTCACTACGAGGAGTGCAATCCGTGGTAGTATTACCTGAGCCAGGTGAAGCCGACTCAATTTGGTATTTTAAATATTTGCTTCAATATAAAACTCAATGAATACCTGTTTCGATGACTGACAAACTGAGTGACCTTTTGACCAGCTTAGGTTTTTTTTCTTTTTTTTTACAGGATTAGCCAACCCGGGCACAGGTCACTGACCTACACCAAGGCCTAGGGGGCGAAAATGTAATAATAATAAAGACAATGATAATAATAATAATAATAATAATAATAATAATAATAATAATAATAATAATAATAATAATAATAATAATAATAATAATAATAATAATAATAATAATAACAATAATAATAATAATAATATTAAAGAACCATAAAGAAATGCAAAAATGAAAAAAAAATAATCAAAAGTGAGAAACAATATATATATGTTGTGTTGTATTTTCTTTAAGTGTGTGGCAAACTCTGCGTTTTTCATAAAAGATTGGGGTCATTCCAGGAGTACCCAGTCTGATGACTCCTAGAAAATCCAATTCATGGGTAACTAGCGCATGTTGTGACCAGTAAAAAATCTACCTGTGATCCCCCTAAGTAAGATATAGAGTCATGCGTCGGTTAACGTCCTAGATACGTTCTTGGAAACGTGAAGTTAACCGAAATGGACGTTGTCTGATCATCACATAAACTTTTTACTTATTCTTACGTGTATGTGGAATACTATATACGTACATATACACTTTTACTCTTAAATCACTACTGTAATGTGATACAGGTGATTAATTTTTATCTCTTGTGCAAAATACATGACGTTTATATTAAAATTATTCACTGTTTTACAAGGATTCCAGCAACGCCGAGCAGATGGGGGAGAGGGTGGGAGCGAGCGAGGGGGCGTGGGGGGAGGGGAGGTAGTACGTTTGACAGTTGGCACAGGCCCAGGGCTAACGCGTGTATATTTATCAGTTCTTGGGTGACTAAGCTTCTCTCTTATAAAAAGCCAGTGAAATGACCTGGGTGAATATAATTAACATGGCTGGGATTCTTGTAACATACTGATTTATTTGAATATAAACATGCTATAATTTGCACTAGACAAAACAATTTTAGTACCGTAATCAAATTAGTACATGTGCACTCCAGCTTTGCACTAAGGTCATGTATTTCTATTACGTTTCTATTAATATGGTGTGTGCATGTAAATGGATGAAAATAAATGAAGAAATCTACGTAAATCTACCCAAAAATACAGTTGAAAAACTTTTTTTTATAAAATGTACTACAGTACTGTACACTAATGTACAACAATTTTTATCTCTTGAGCAAAATATATGACGTTTATATTCAAATTATTGGCTGTCTTCCAAGGACTCCAGCAATGCAAATTATAATCTCCTAACTTTAGTCTGGGATATTATATAAAATAAACAAAGAAATCACCAGGGTGGGAAGAGGGGGGGGAGGTGAGGTGACAGAATGCCTGGCGTTTGTTTGTTTATTTATTTGAGATAAGATTTGACAGTTGGCGCTGAAGGCCTGCCTGGTGTTTATTTATCATTACTTAAGAGTGACTAAGCTCTTCTCATAATTTGCCATCCAAACGACCTGGGTGAATATAACTTACACAGGAGGGATTCTTGTAAGATAATAATTTATTTGAATACCTGTATAAACAAGCTATATTTGCAATAGACATAACAATTTTTAGTACCGTAATCATTTAGTACATGTACAATACAGGTTTGCACTTAGGTCCATTGTTACTGTACAATATTGACTAAATTCACTAGATAACGTACGCCTGACGCACAATCTATAAGAATACGCGATGAATATGTGACTGTGCCTGCTCTAGGTCCATTTCGGTTCGCTAGGTCCCATTATGTGAATGTTTTTTTTTATTTTTTTCAATTTAAATTTTAATTGTTTATTCCTTGACAGAGGAAGCGGGATCTTAGTGCTGTCACTTGGTACCCCTGTACCATAACACCAGAAGCAACTAGCCAGTGTCACAAGTATATACAGTACAGTACAGTACAGTCATCCCTTGGTTATCGCGCCTAATTGGGACCCTGCCGATAACGAAAGTACAGAACCTATGGGATTTATTCTAATTGGTTCAGGCACCCAAGACCCAACCCCAAGTTTCCCATTTTACGACCATTTAGACCCACTAAATATATATACAGTATAATGTTATGGTAAATATCACAAACACACATAGGCATGGCTAGGTTTATTACAAAGCGATGAAAAGGGTACGCTTAATACTGTAGTCCACAAAACATGTAGCTATGCTTTTTTTATTTGGTCCCCCGTCATACGAGTCCGTTTTCTCTCACATCAGGACGCATGAGTCCTCCGTTTTCTCTCTTAATCTTAGAGTGCACCAGAAACTTTACTATTTTTAGTAATGCCACAGAATTTGAAATTGCAACCCCAATTGCAACTGGGGTTGCAACTGGGGTTGCAATTGTTGAGGCAACTAGATATGTCTGATAACAGCAAATGTGTTAGTGTCAATTTATTGGTGAAAGATTTTATCCTCAATAGATGTAGGTTAACATTTCACCTGTAGGCAAATGCTTAAAAAAAGCTTAAGTAAGGAAGCATATTCCTTTAACACACAATATCTGACCAGTATGGGGAGGATCATCGTTTCTCCGTCAGGGGTCGTGGAGTGGTGGTCCAGCAGGCGTCAAGTTATTTTTTTTTGGGGGGGGCACGGACATACAGTATATGTGATCGGACGTTGTTCGGTCGGACATTAACCGGCGCATGACTGTACAAGTATTTGTCAATTTACAGGTGAATCTGTGACTACCATGCTAGGTGTGCTAGTTTCACCAAGGTCCTGTAGTGGATTTCTCCCCTACAAACGCTGTTTGTCGCTGCGTAGCCGACCCCACGAATTCCACAGTGTGTGCCTCTGGTCTAGGTCAACCAGCTCCGCCATACATCACGGAGCAGGGGTCAACTACTAAGCCACGCCTACCCCCCCGCTATTTAAGACCTGACCTCGTGGTGACCTGTATCATTCTACCTACACCAACCAGCCAGCAACACCTCCTCCTCCTCCGCCTGCCTGGCGGCCCTCGCTCCCGCCGGCGAGCATGGCGACCCACAAGCTGGGCCTCCTCTGAGCATCCTCACCAACCAGCTCTCTCTACATCATGCTTGTAACCATGCTGCCTTCCCAGCACCAAGCTGCATTGTACATCCAATACATCATGTATATAGAGAGCACATTGTGAGTTTCCTTCCTCCATTCCATCCTGAATGTGAACACAAATACCACGCACCCCACAGTCCCCTCAATGTCACAGCTTGCAATTTGAGCTGCTTGTCCAGTCGTGACCCTCCCCTCCCCCACCAGGCCGGCCAGCAACTGACCATCCAGCCTGACCATCTCTCTACTACCAACCTACACTCCCCTTGTACTGCACACATCAGTGTCATGCACCATCCCCGACACTGGCTCCTACTACCACCTGAGATCCCTAGCCCGAGAATTGCTGTTCGACAACACAACCGCATCCAGCCCATACAAGCACGAACTGGTCGCTATAAGAACACCCTTGTCCTAACCATTGTAAATATTATCAATAACTTGTAATCAACCAGTGTATTCACTCCCAGTCAATCTTACTTTTTTGCACTGTCACTATGTTGAAATGCCCTGTCGTATGACCTTCTCTCCACCTAGTTAATATATATCATATTTGTATCACTTATGTTATTTGTATATTTTCAGCCTTCCGGCTGCCATGATCTTTCAACAAAACGTTAATCACACACACACACATATCCTTGACCACCGAAGGGTCAAGACGTACCTGGCGCTCCTCTGGGAGCAGCCAAATCAACTGTTAAGTAGGCCCATACCAACTCCCTCCCCTGAACCCTCCTCCCCGCCAGAATATCAACAAGTTCTCGCCAGAAGTTACAATTTCATTTAGGAAAGGAATGGAACCAGTCTTGAACAGAGGTGAACAGTGCATAACTCAGTGAGAAAAACTCGGCAGTAACAGCCGAGTCGTACCCAAGTTAAACTTCACACAGTGAGGTACCAGGTACCCAGTGATAACGGCCCGTGAGACCCAACAACAACCAGCGATGTGTTAATCCGTCTACGATAGGAAGGCCTGGGACCACACCTCACTCATATAACATCATCTGTGAGGGAATTACTACACGTGAGGTCCCTCATAACACCATCTGTGAGGGAATTACTACACCACGTGAGGTCCCTCATAACACCATCTGTGAGGGAATTACTACACCACGTGAGGTCCCTCATAACACCATCTGTGAGGGAATTACTACACCACGTGAGGTCCCTCATAACACCATCTGTAAGGGAATTACTACACCACGTGATGCCCCTCATAACACCATCTGTGAGGGAATTACTACACCACGTGAGCTCCCTCATAACACCATCTGTGAGGGAATTGCTACACCACGTGAGGCCCCTCACAACACCATCTGTGAGGGAATTACTACACCACGTGAGGTCCCTCATAACACCAACTGTGAGGGAATTACTACACCTCGTGAGGTCCCTCATAACACCATCTGTGAGGGAATTACTACACTTCGTGTTTGCTGTTCAACACCTACATTAATCTGTATGTTCACTGTATGTTCCTTTACCTTTCTCCAATGAAGGCTTTTGTCAAACCACCAATGTATGTAATAAGTCATTTATGTCCAACGTATATTTTCAGCCTTCGGGCTGCAGAATTTTCCCAATAAACCGTTAATTATTATTATTATTATTATTATTATTACTATTATTATTATTATTATTATTATTATTATTATTATTATTATTATTATTAATTAATTAATTAATTTAGGCCCTTTATCGTCACTCATTTCTTTTTGTATAGTTTTATACATTTCTTTAAGTATTAGTGTACAGTAGCTAAAACAACTATCTGTGCATACTTTGTGGGAAACAATATGAGAACATGGACGATTAATTTTGGTATATGAGGGCTGTCACTAGTCACATGTAAAATATCGGAGCATATCGATCCCCACCTGCACAGATAGTTGTTTTAGCTACTGTACCTGTATTCATAATCAAAGGAGAAATCTGAAATGGAATACAATCATACACGAGTGTTTGACACACACACACAACAAAATTGGAAACCACACGTCAGTGAAGTTGTCAAATCCTCCAGTTTCCGTCTCCACCTCCTCCGCCGACTCAAGTCCCTCGGAGTTCCTGCCCCCGAGCTCCCCAGTGTTTACTCAACATTCATACTGCCCAAGCTCACCTATGCCTCCCCTACCTGGTCTTCCTCCCTAAATGCCACACAATGTAAACACCTAGAAAAAGAGCAAAAGAGGACATGCAAGATTATTCTCTCCCCTTCCTACTCCACATATCAAGAAGCGCTCAACACACTGACCCTCTCGGCTCTCACTGACCATCATCACGACCTCATCTGCAAATTTGGTGAGAAGCTTCTGCACCATCCTCGACACCGGCTCCTACTACCACATGAGATCCCTCGCCCGAGAATTGCTGTTCGACACCAAAACCGTATCCACCCCATACGAGCACGAACTGATCGCTATAAGAACAGCCCAGTCCCAACTACAGTATTGTAAAAATTATCAAAAAACTTGTAATCAACCAGTGTATTCACTCCCAGTCAATCTTACCTTTTGCACTGTCACTATGTTGAAATGCCCTGTAGTTTGAGCCTCTCCCCACCTAGTCATTATTTATCATATTTGTATCACTTGTGTTACTTGCAAATTATTTGTAAATCAAGTGACCCATTCCCCAATTATGTAACCGTATTTTTTCAGCCTTCCGGCTGCCATGCTCTTTCAATAAACCGTTAATAATTATTATTATTATTATTATTATTATTATTATTATTATTATTATTATTATTATTATTCTGTACACACACGCATTAAATCCATCCTACATCTAGCCTAGAGTCTCTGCAGGCGGTGGTTTAAGTCTGTGTCCCCTTGTGGCTCAATTAAAACTTGCGTTGACCACTTAAAACTTATGTAAGCCACTTAAAACTTATTCAAGTGGAGCGAGTGTGAACTAGCCTGTCTGCAGTTTCACTGACACCACAGTGTTTACCAGTACGGAAGACGCCATGGCATTCACGTCAACTAATGCATTCTTTTGCTTCTTTTAAAAATTACTCTCTTTTGTATTTGTAGGATGTTAAGAACCCCGTTATTTATGAAACTGTGATTAATAAACACCTCTCTCCCCCCTCACCCCACACTCCCTCCTCTCCCCTTCACCCCCCTCCCCCCTCTCCCCCTCCCTCCTCTCCCCCCCTCACCCCTTCCCTCTCTTACCCTCTCCCCCAACTTCCTCCTCTCCCCCCTCCACCCCACCTCCCTCCCTCTCCCCCCCTCACCCCACCTCCCTCTTCCCACCCCTCACCCGACCTCCCTCCTCTCCCCCTTCACCCCACCCCTCCTCCTCTCCCCCTCACCCCACACTCCCTCCTCCCCCCTCACCCCTCACTCCCTCTCTTCCCCTCACCCCACCTCCCTCTCTTCCTCTTCTCCCCCCCTCACCCCCTCCCCTCCTCCCCTTCACCCCACCTCCCTCTCTTCCTCTTCTCCCCCCTTCACCCCTCCCTCTCCTTTCCCTCTTCTCCCCTTCACCCCCTCCCTCTCTTCCTCTTCTCCCCCCCCTCCCCCTCCTCCTCTCCCCTTCACCCCACCTCCCTCTCTTCCTCTTCTCCCCTCACTCCCTCCTCTCCCTTCACCCCCTCCCCTCTCTTCCCCTCACCCCCTCCCCTCTCTCCCCTTCACCCCACACTCCCTCTCTTCCTCTTCTCCCCCATCACCCCTCCCCTCCTCTCCCCTTCACCTCCCACCTCCCTCTTCCTCCCTTCACCCCCTCCCTCTCTTCCCTCTTCTCCCCCCTTCACCCCCTCCCTCCTCTTCCTCTTCTTTTCCCCCTTCACCCCCTCCCTCTCCCTTCTCCCTCTTCCCCCCTCCCTCTCTTCCTCTTCTCCCCCCCTCACCCCACCTCCCTCCTCTCCCCTTCACCCCACTCCCCTCTCTCCCCCCCTCACCCCACTCCTCCTCTCCCCTTCACCCCCTCCCCTCTCTTCCCTCTTCTCCCCCTTCACCCCACCTCCCTCTCTTCCTCTTCTCCCCCCTTCACCCCACACTCCCTCTCCTCTTCTCCCTTCACCCCTCCCTCTCTTCCTCCTCACCCCACCACTCCCTCTCTTCCTCTTCTCCCCCTCTTCCCACTCTCTCTTTCCCTCTCACCCCCACACACTCTCTCTCTTTCCCCTCACCCCACACCTCCTCTCTTCCTCCTCACCCCTCTCTCTCTCTTAACAGAACATAAGAAAAAAGGAGTCTGCAATAGGCCGGTTGGCCTGTGGCAGCTCCTGTCGAGAGTTACTGCCACTCTCTATCATCCATGAATCTATCTAGCCTCCTTTTGGGAAACTTTCAGAGTTCCCGCACTTACTACAATTGCTAGCTTGTTCCACTCGTCCACCACCCTATTTGTTAACCAGTTTCTTCCTATCTCCTCCCAAACCTAAACTTATCCAACTTGAATCCGTTGCTCCGGTCCTATCCTGCTCGGATATTATAATAACTTTATCTATATCCTTATTGATTCCTTTCACCCACTTAAATACTTCTATCATATCTCCCGCACTCTTCGTCTTTCTAGGAATGCAAGTTAAGTTTCTTTAACCTATCCTGATATGGAAGGTTTCTAAGTCCCGGAATCATTTTTGTCATTCTTCGCTGCACCGACTCTGGTGAATTTATATCCATTCTATAGTAGGGCACCAGAACTGAACCACATAATCGAGGTGCGGCCTAACTCCCTCCCTCTCTTCCTCCTCACCTCCTCTCTTTCCCTCACCCCCACCTCCCTCTCTTTCCCCTCACCCCACTCTCTCTCTCTCTTTCCCCTCACCCCACTCCCTCTCTTCCTCCTCACCCCACTCCCTCTCTCCTCCTCACCCCACCTCCCCCTCTCTTCCCTCACCCCACCGTCCTCTCTTCCTCCTCACCCCCCTCCCTCTCTTTCCCCCTCACCCCCTCCTTCTCTTACCCCCCCACCCCACACTGTCTTCCTCCTCACCCCACACTCCCTCTCTTCCCCCTCAACCCACACTCCCTCCTCACCCCACACTCCCCTTCTTTCCGCCTCACCCCACAGTCCCTCTCTCCCCCCCTTATCCGGTCAAGTTGTCATGGTTAAGGTCTTCTTCAGGTCAGGTGAAGTCCCTAATTCCACTACGGCAGGTACCGTTGAAACCCTTAAAGGTGGCGTGAGCGTCTTATAGAGGGTGGTGCCCCCCCCCCCCTCCTCCCACCACAAACCTCAGCGCCTCTATGTGCTCGAGAACCCAATAGTTATATCTCTCTCTTTCTCTCTCTCGCGCACACACCACCTACCTTCAGTTCCCTGATCCTTCGTGCTGCTCTCTGTGTTGGTGTCAAATAATTGTCTGGATCATAATCGTGGTTATGTCGGCAGTGTAAGACGTACTTGAGGTTCCTCCCTCCTCCTCCCCTGCTGCTGCTACTACTACCACAGGAGGATTGGTGGTGGTGAAGGTGCTGGGAAAGTCCCGCGTCGCAACTCACAGCTGAACACACTGAGCCAAAACTCTTGACGGAATCGACGTCATCCAGGTCAAGGTTTGGGGATCTCGAAGGGGTCTCTGGCTGCGACGCCTACAGGTAAATGGGAATGGTTGTGTTATTAGAACCCGTAATGTAAATAAAGGACGAACACACTTATCATTACTACTACTACGGTTGGATTTGTCATTAAGAAGCCATAAACAACCGTTCAGTGTCACTGTCGACTTAATAACCACCGTGGACTGCAGGAGCTAACAAGGGGTAGCGAGAATATCGTACAACATTTTTTTTGTTTCTGTATGAAATTCTCAGGTTATATTTAAACGATGGTGATGATAGTTTGATAACAGTGCATTTGGCGAGGTTAAATAATATACACAGACATTTCTCCACTTATCTATAGGTTAATCAAAGCAATAATATTTGTTACACTTTCAACACATGAAAATTGCTGTACACTCAAGCCTAAATATACGAATAGGGTTTAACTTGATACAAACTCGCAGGGAAAAGGAAAACACCGGAGCACCTTAGCGTTTGTCTTTACTCAATCCAGGTAAAGACGTCAAGTAAAAGAGTGCCAACAACTAGGAATTATTGTAGCCGTTTCCTATACTTTTAATACATACCTGTAATTATATTTCTGAATCAAGTTCCCGAAGGAGAATAATATGATATCTTAGGCTCGTTGAAATAGTCTGTTATCTTGGTTTAAAATACGTTAGTTGTGTACGATGTCTCCTGCGTTAAGGTTAAAGTAGTTCAGGTTATCACTGGTTTTATTATGTTAATTTTATACCAACAGATATAAACACACCCTGACACCTGTAATATACCCTAACACAGTAGAGTGAAGGGCGATATGATAGAGGTCTATAAATGGAAGTCAGAACTAAACAAAGGAAACATTACAAAGCACTCAAACTATCCAACCTGGAGCGAACTCGTAACAATGGTTTTAAATTAGACAAATTTAGATTTAGGCGCGAAATAGGTAAACATTGGTTTGGAAATAGAGTAGTGGATAAGTGGAACAAGTTACCAAATACATTATCATAATTAACTCGAATACGCTGGGTAGCTTCAAACATAGGTTGGATGGATATATGAGCGATAGGGGTTGGGTGTAAATGGGACTACCCAGTATGGGCCAATAGGCCAGCTGCACTTTCCTCCATTCTTATGTTCTTATGATAACACTGTAATATACCCTGACACACTGTAATGTACCCTGACACACTGTAATACACCATGAGACACTGTAATATGCCATAACACACTGTAATATACCCTAACACACTGTAATATACCCTAACACACTGTAATATACCCTAACATACTGTAATATACCCTAACACACTGTAATATACCCTAACACACTTTAATATACCCTAACATACTGTAATATACCCTAACACACTGTAATATACCCTAACACTGTAATATACCCTAACACACTGTAATATACCCTAACACACTGTAATATACCCTAACACACCACAATATGCCTAACACACTATAATATACCCTATATGCTGTAATATGCCTAACACGCTAATATGCCCTAACATACTGTAATACCCTAACACACTGTAATACCCTAACATACTGTGTATACTAACATACTGTGTATACTAACACACTGTATTACCATGAGACACTGTAATATACCCTAACACACTTTAATATACCCCTAACATACTGTATACCCTGTAACACATATGTGCCTAACACTGTGTATACCCCTGCATGTGCCTAACACACTGTAATACCTAACATGCTGTGTATACCTAACACACTGTGCCCTAACAAGAGAAGTAGCCCTAACACATGTATACCCTGTATGCTGTAATATACCCTAACATACTGTAATATACCCTAACACACTGTAATACACCATGAGACACTGTAATATACCCTAACACACTTTAATATACCCTAACATACTGTAATATACCCTAACACACTGTAATATACCCTAACACTGTAATATACCCTAACATACTGTAATATACCCTAACACACTTTAATATACCCTAACATACTGTAATATACCCTAACACACTGTAATATACCCTAACACTGTAATATACCCTAACATACTGTAATATACCCTAACACTGTAATATACCCTAACACACTGTAATATACCCTAACACTGTAATATACCCTAACACACTGTAATATACCCTAACACTGTAATATACCCTAACATACTGTAATATACCCTAACACTGTAATATACCCTAACATACTGTAATATACCCTAACATACTGTAATATACCCTGAAAAAGACGAGAATATACATGGCTCTTCTCGCCTCGAGTCATATCCTCAAGTCAGGTCTTTGTACAGTACGTATACCTGTTCGGGTAAACTTGATCTCTTGTTACAACAGGTAAATTAACTTCACACAAGGACATTCTCGCGGCCCTTACAACACAACACAACACAACACAACACAACACAACACAACACAACACAAACGCCATCTTCTGTGAAATTATAAATGAATTTTGTAAGTAGCAGCGTTTTTGGTGGAGTTTTTTTCGCCTCATTACATCAACATCAACACACATGCAGGAGCATAATAACACCGCCAGTTTTACCCCCACTGTATATCCAGACCAACACACACACACACGTACCGGGGTGATAGGTACAGAAGAACTGGTCTGTGTTAACGATGACGGCGTTGAAGACACGGGCAGAAAGTTGGGCCTCCTGCTTGGGTGGTTGTGGTGGTTGGTACTGGAGGTGGTATGGTGGTGGTGGTAGCTAAGACTCGGGTGCCAAGAGGAACCAAGACCGGCATAAGACTATGAAAAGAGGGTTAAGAAAGTGCGGTTATTGGTGGGTGGTGGGGGGCAGGTAGGGGGTCGGTGGTGGTATGAGGGTGGTAGGGGCAGGTGAGTGGGTGGTGGTGGTGAGGGTGAATACTGGGTAGTGGTGATAATGGTAAGGTGTAGGTAGCGGTGGTGAGGGTGGGTGGTGTGAGGCAGATGGGTGGGTGGTGAGGGTGGGTGGGTGGTGAGCGGGTTGGGGGATGGTGAAAACAGTTATGACCTATGACAGTGATGAAGACGGATAAACTGACAGGAAGTTGACATAATAGTGGTAAACATTAACAGTGAGCATGACACAATAATACTGACATTAATACTTGATCACACCATCAGTGTTATGTCTTGATAGTGAAGATATGTTCTGCTCAGGGTAAAAATGGTGAAATAAATGGTGAAAATAATTTGTAAATAATTTTTTGAATAGAAATTCTGAAAATAGTTTGCAAATGGGGAAAAATTTAATAAATTTGGCGAAAATAATGAAATAAATGGTAAAAATAATGAAATAAATGGTGAAAATAGTTTGTACATGGTGTAAATACCTTGTAAATGATAAAAAAAAAAATTAATTAAAACGGTGAAAATAGCTTTTAGTACATGGTGAGGACTCAAGCCATTACTAAGTGCTAGAAATGCAATCTTACAAGTCACTGACAATAACAGAGTTTGTAAACATAAGAATTACTTGGTTTTCTAATGTTCTTTAATTACGGGGCGGAGGAGAAACTACGCTAAAAAGTTACTACAATAAAGAGGAAACGACCTCAAAAACATTGACCAGAACAAACATTAAGAAACTATTTAAATGTGGATTATACGAATAGAATCCACTACCATCAATTATACATTAAAATGCAAATCCCAAATGAAAATGGTGGGAATTATTCACGTACAGTGATGAAATCAGCTGTCCCGTTTGTTCTCCCCTTAACTTACGTGGTAAATTGAATACATTACTCGCCGGGCTCTCCACAATTTTTTTGTGCCTTTTACACTAATAAAATGTTACAGTAAAAAAATCTAGTGTTTTATGTATTTGGTTGAAACTTTTTAACTAATAAAATATCAATGTAAGTCATATTACATGTATATATTTCTTTACGTGTATTATGTTAAGTTTAAAAAAAATAACAGTATACACAAGTACTAGTATGTTTGAACTTACTATTTTTATTCATACTTTTAAACTAATAAAATATCTCAATAAACAAAAATATCAGTATTTTTGGTGGTCAATATTTTGTTTATACAATTTAACGAAGACATATTCCTACTTTTAACCGCCATATTTAACTTGAGCTCTGACATGTTATCTTCTACACACTCGAGTAACGTGTGGCCGTCTCATGACCTCTGCCACAAGAACCACTGCTAGCAGGAGCAATCAGCAGTACCTGGCGTTCCCCTTTAGCCAGTAATGGTCATGGGAGCTTCGCCAGACCAACATTAGGCTTCTGACAAACAATGGCGTTCAGTGTTCTCTTTAGGAGCTACGTCTGACGACCGTTCGCTCGCCTTCTGTCTACAGTGACGTTATTTAATCGTAGGCGTATATAGCTTTCACCATAGCCTATGTAACAAACGTACTGCGTAAGTTTTAAAAATACAAAACAATCATACAGGAAGGGGTAAAGCGTTCTCCGTAAATGACGTATAAATACACAGAACTAACTATACTAGCCATACTTAACACACTACAGTATATGGCCAAGTGCTTCAGTAATCTACCTTGATAACAAACCCCCAAATAAGTCCTATACATTAACAGTCGTCAAACATCTACAGTTAATAAGACAACATACAATCAAAATGGCTCAGATACAATCATACAAACAACCCATTAATATATTAAATTAACCCTCAGCTGAAAAAAAAAACTCAATTACACTGAAACTCAGGAATGAAAACTTAGCGTGCCAACTGAGAGTAGGTGAGGCCTCCCGCACCCAATTAGCGGGAGGCAATCGACTGAGTGCTCTACCTGGCCTGGCCACGCCCCTCACTCACCCCCTGGGATGATGTCTCCCTCACACACACACACACACCTATCCTGCCCCTGAAGCACTTGGTAACTCGCATCTCAATATTGCCAGACTTCGCCCCTATATCCAGTTAAAACAGAAAACGACGCCTAGACCCATCAAAGGAATTAAAACCTTTGTCTCCACTATCAGCAAACGGCCGGGAAGCTTATGTATCTCTGCCAGTTGCCACCAATAAAATACCTGGAAAGATACACATAGGAGCTGAAGAATACCTCTATACGACCAACAGCTTTGAGTCCAAGAGATTCATACTTCGAAGCCCAATTTAATAACTTAAACCAACAAACTGCTAAACAATCACACCCGCATTATTACTTGGAATTCATAAGTCACGATTTTCGAAATATTAAGATATGGAAGCTTGTGTTACGAATATTGTTAATCCTAAAAAGCAAAGACCAGAAAGCACTATGGACCAAACACTAAAATACCGCGAAAACTACGGGTTTTACTGAAGTTCGTGCAATAGTAAAAGTCTTAAATTATCAAGTGTTTTCGAGTTGGTGGACGACGCCGCCTCTTGGAACTGGTAAACTTTGAAGCTCCGGCCAATAAGGTACTGCAAGCTATGATTTTCTAAAGACATTAAAGGTTATATAATGCAGCGGATAAAAGGACAATACCAGGAAGTTTAGTAATACGAGGGCTACGGACTTAAATCCGACAGATTAATGGAGGCGTGGACACAGATGGAAGCCACTAAAGTACATAAGCCCCAACAATACAAATGTGGTTACGAAATATCAAAAGTTTCATATTTTTTCCCGCAATACCTGGTTTGGAAACAAAGTAGTGGATGAATGGAACAAGTTACCAAATATCATCATTAACTCGAATACGCTGGATAGCTTCAAACATAGGTTGGATGTTTATATGAGCAACAGGGGTTGGGTGTAAACGGGACTGTCCAGTATGGGCCAAAAGGCCCGATGCAGTTTCCTCCATTCTTATGTTCTTATGTTCTTATTACAAAACACATCTAGTAGTCACTGTAATAACAATGACGTCATTTGAGCAGCCATCTTCCCGTAGGTTAAGTTGGATTATTAGATGTGTTTTTATATTAACAAATAAGTAGGAAAAAACAACTACGATTATTTTTTATTTTTAAAATACGAGAGTAATACGACTACGAGGGTTCACAACAGTTACATTCCTACCATATTGTTGTTGCTGTTGCTGAGGTTTTCCAGCGACTGCTCCAGGATGGTGGAGAAGTTAGGGTGGGACGGGTAAAGCACAATCGGGGTCTAGACGAACGCCCGTGACGTCATCAACACATGCACGTAACAAGAACAGTGATAGAGAAACAGAATGCAAACATTGATATAAAGTGCTGCACATTAAGTCATTAAGAACATGCATATTATATTAACAAATACAGGGTGAAGTAACAAAGCAATAACACAAGACGGAATTAATAGACAAGAAAATGAGGTTTGGAGAAAAATAAATGCAAAGCAGATAATACGGATCACCTCAACGTTTCTCTCCCCCTCTGTTTACTTCACAGGATGATTAAACACCCTAACGCTACCTGGGGGGCAGGGTAGGTTAAGTTAGATTTGGTTAGCGTTAAGGTGGTTAATCTTGGTCTCCTACAGCTGAGGACAAGGTGCACGGTCTCCTACAACTGAGGAGAAGGTGCACGGTCTCCTACAACTGAGGACAAGGTGCACGGTCTCCTACAACTGAGGACAAGGTGCATGGTCTCCTACAACTGAGGACAAGGTGCATGGTCTCCTACAACTGAGGACAAGGTGCACGGTCTCCTACAAGTGTGGACAGTGTTGCTATTGTAATACACGGCCATGAGACGAGGCTGTCACACCTGCTCACACGACATAGAAGTTAACTCCACTGAACACGTGCTGCTGACGTCATACACACCTGTGGCCGCCCGAACAGGTGGTGAGGAAGGGTTAAACATGTCATGACGCGATGTTGACAAATAATTATGCAACGAAGTCATATCTAAACTGGCAAGTAAAGTTTTGCAATCATACAATATTATGCAACACTAACACTAATGAAAATATGAAAATTATGCTTAAGTTTGAGTCATGCAATATTATGCAACTCTCGCAATTAAAATGGTTTATGCAATATTATGCAAGCTCCAATAATAACAAAAAGAATGCAACATGACACAAAGTCTTATAAAAAAAATCAAACCGTAAAGCGCCATGCAACTCAACACCAGCGACAATATATTAATTCAATAATGTAATAGACCTCACAAAATCACAATGACAAGAACAGTCCTTAAATCACGCAAAGGTCAAGACACAGATGTGGAAATCATGCAGTGTAATATAAACAAACAATGATAACAACAGCAATGATAACGGACTGTGGACAAGAGAGAGAAGAGACGCAATAATATACGATTTCACTCTGGGTAACGTTCGAGAATGGCAGATATCGTAAGTTTGGGTTAAGAATGACAGATATCGTAAGTTTATGCTGAGAATGACAGATGTAAGTTTATGCTGAGACTGGCAGATATCGGAAGTTTATGCTGAGAATGGCAGATATCGTAAGTTTATGCTGAGAAAGACAGATATCGTAAGTTTATGCTGAGACTGGCAGATATCGTAAGTTTATGCTGAGAGTGGCAGATATTGCAAGTTTATGCTGAGAATGACAGATATGTAAGTTTATGCTGAGACTGGCAGATATCGTAAGTTTATGCTGAGAATGGCAGATATTGCAAGTTTATGCTGAGAATGACAGATATGTAAGTTTATGCTGAGACTGGCAGATATCGGAAGTTTATGCTGAGAATGGCAGATATCGTAAGTTTATGCTGAGAAAGACAGATATCGTAAGTTTATGCTGAGCATGGCAGATATCGTAAGTTTAAGCTGAGACTGGCAGATATCGGAAGTTTATGCTGAGAATGGCAGATATCATAGGTTTACACTAAGAACGGCAGATATCCTAAGTTTATGCTGAGACTGGCAGATATCGTAAGTTTATGCTGAGAATGGCAGATATTGCAAGTTTATGCTGAGAATGACAGATATGTAAGTTGAGAATGACGTTTATGCTGAGTATGACAGATATCGAAAGTTTATACTGAGAATGGCAGATATTGTAAGTTTATGCTGAGAATGACAGATATGTAAGTTTAAGCTGAGAATGAGAATGAGAATGGCAGTAAGTTTATGAGTAAGTTTAAGTTGAGAATGACAGTTATTATAAGTTTATGCTGAGTATGACAGATATCGAAAGTTTATACTGAGAATGGCAGATATTGTAAGTTTATGCTGAGAATGACAGATATGTAAGTTTAAGCTGAGAATGACAGTTATTATAAGTTCATGCTGAGAATGGCATATTTCGTAAGTTTATGCTGAGACTGGCAGATATCCTAAGTTTATGCTGAGACTGGCAGACATCGAAAGTTTATGCTGAGAATGGCAGATATTGCAAGTTTATGCTGAGAATGGCAAACATCGTAAGTTTATGCTGAGAATGAAAGTTATTGCAAGTTTATGCTGAGAATGGCAGATATTGTAAGTTTATGCTGAGAATGGCAGATATTGTAAGTTTATGCTGAGAATGGCAAACATCCTAAGTTCATGCTGAGAATGGCAGTTATTGTAAGTTTATGCTGAGAATGGCAGATATCGTATGTTTATGCTGAGAATGACAGTTATTATAAGTTTATGCTGAGAATGACAGATACCGCAAATTTATGCTGAGAATGGCAGATATTATAAGTTTATACTGAGAATGGCAGATATCGTAAGTTTATGCTGAGATTGGCAGATATCGTAAGTTTATGCTGAGAATGGCAAACATCGTAAGTTCATGCTGAGAATGACAGTTATTGTAAGTTTATGCTGAGAATGGCATATATCGTATGTTTATGCTGAGAATGGCACACATTGTAAGTTTATGCTGAGAATGGCAGATATCGTAAGTTTATGCTGAGAATGGCAGATATCGTAAGTTTATGCTGAGAATGACAGTTATTGTAAGTTTATGCTGAGAATGGCAGATATGGCAGATATTATAAGTTTATGCTGAGAATGGCAGATATCGTATATTTATGCTGAGATTGGCAGATATCGTAAGTTTATGCTGAGAATGGCAGATATCGTAAGTTTATGCTGAGAATAGCAGATATCGTAAGTTTATGCTGAGAATGACAGTTATTGTAAGTTTATGCTAACAATGACAGATATTGTAAGTTTATGCTGAGAATGGCAGATATTGTAAGATTATGCCGAGTATGGCAGATATCGTAAGTTTATGCTGAGAATAGCAGATATATAATTTATGCTGAGAATGGTAGGTATCGCAAGCTTATGCTGAGAATGGCAGATATATCGTAAGTTTATGCTGAGAATGGCAGATATCGTAAGTTTATGCTGAGAATGGCAGATATTTTAAGTTTATGAATGACAGATATCAAGTATAGGTTAAGAATGACTATCGTAAGTTTATGCTGAGAATGGCAGATATTGTAAGTTTGGCAGATATCGTAAGTTTATGCTGAATGGCAGATATCGTAAGTTTATGCTGAGAATGACTATAAGTTTATGCTGAGAATGATTGTGCTAGCAGATATCGTAAGTTTATGCTGAGAATGACAGTTATTGTAAGTTTATGCTAACAATGACAGATATTGTAAGTTTATGCTGAGAATGGCAGATATTGTAAGATTATGCTGAGTATGGCAGATATCGTAAGTTTATGCTGAGAATAGCAGATATCGTAAGTTTATGCTGAGAATGGCAGATATTGTAAGTTTATGCTGAGAATGGCAGTTATTGTAAGTCTATGCTGAGAATGGCAGATATTGTAAGTTTATGCTGAGAATGGCAGTTATTGTAAGTTTATGCTGAGAATGGCAGATATCGTAATTTTATGCTGAGAATGGCAGATATTGTAAGTTTATGCTGGGAATGGCAAATATCGTTAAGTTTATGCTGAGAATGGCAGATATCGTAAGTTTATGCTGAGAATGGCAGATATTGAAATTTATGCTGAGAATAGCAGATATTGTAAGTTTATACTGAGAATGACAGTTATTGTAAGTTAATGCTGACAATGACAGATATTGTAAGTTTATGCTGAGAATGGCAGATATCGTAAGTTTACGCTAAGAATAGCAGATATCATAAGTTTATGCTGAGACTGGCAGTTATCGTAAGTTTATGCTGAGAATGGCAGATATCATAAATTTATGCTAAGAATGGCAGATATCGTAAGTTTATGCCGAGACTGGCAGATATCGTAAGTTTATACTGAGAATGGCAGATATCGTAAGTTTATGCTGAGAATGACATATCGTAAGAGTATGCTGAGAATGGCAAATATCGTAAGTTTATGCTGAGAATGGCAGATATCGCAATTTATGCTGAGAATGGTAGGTATCGCAAGCTTATGCTGAGAATGGCAGATATCGTAAGTTTATGCTGAGAATGGCAGATATCGTAAGTTTATGCTGAGAATGGCAGATATTTTAAGTTTGAGTTAAGAATGACAGATATCGTAAGTATAGGTTAAGAATGACAAATATCGTAAGTTTATGCTGAGAATGGCAGATATCTTAAGTTTGGGTTAACAATGGCTGATATCGTAAGTTTATGCTGAGAATGGCAAATATCGTAAGTTTATGCTGAGAAGGGCAGATATCGTCAGTTTATGCTGAGAATGGCAGATATCGTAAGTTTATGCTGAGAATGACAGCTATTGGAAGTTTATGCTGAGAATGGCAGATATCGGAAGTTTATGCCGAGAATGGCAAATATCGGAAGTTTATGCTGAGAATGGCAGATATCGTAAGTTTGGGTTAAGAATCCAGAATAAGTCACCTAATACGACTAGTGACTTGCAAGATATGATTAGAATCCATTGAGATTACTAATGGGTGATTGCCAATTGTCATTTGTATAGATGACGATTAGAACACTCTTGCATTTGATATTATATGATTAGCAAACAACGAGTGATTAGCATAGATGATTATAAATATTTTTTATGAGGAAAAGATGATTAGAAGTATTTGTAATTTATACAGATAAGTAGGAACATTTGTGGGCCCATTCCATGACGTAGAAAGGATTCCGTGACGTCACAACATAAACACAACTCACGTGGGTTTTCCTGTCTGAAGAGGCGTTATTGACCCTCCTGGTGTGGTTGCCTGGGTGTGTAAACCTCCTCGGCGTCTCTGGCGTGAGGGAGTGACCATACACTCTGGAAGTCCCACTCGGTGTACTGGAAGTCGAGGAGGAGGTGGGAGTCATGGAGTTGGTGGTGGAAGACGAGGAAGGACGCGTTATGCCTCCCATCCCACGTGAGGTAACGAAACTGGCTGATCTGTGTGGGAAAGATGACGATAATGATGATGGAATGATTCAAGCTGGGTGGGCGGAGGTGAGGAGGTCGTCACACACACACACACACACACACACACACACACACACACACACACACACACACTACTACTACTACTACTAATAATAATAATAATAATACCTCGCTGTCACTCTGAATCGAGTATGACGATCATCCAGCTGTGATATAATGATATGAGTTATTAGGGATGTCACCTACTGTAGGTTGGTGAGTTTTGAGGTGATTAAACAGGGTCGTCCACATTCGTTGCACAAGTGGAGGGCTGCATCTTGTGCGGGAGGGGCGGTGGCAGCGTCTTTCCAGCGTTGGCGCTTGTCTGCCTCGGTTTGCAATCGGGCTAACTCGAAAGTATTGACACCTTCTCGTGCGGTGCTCCCCCAAGCGTTACGATGTGGAGTAATCGACTCCTAGATGAGGGGGTCGATTTGGCACTTTTTCAGGTTTGTCTTAAGACTATCCTTATATATACCTTTTCAATTGCCCACCGGTGTTACGTTTAGTATTCGTTAGGTGACTGTAAAGTAGTTGCTTTGGCAGTCTACTGATCGTCCATGCGGGTAAAATGGCCAGTCCAGCGTAGCTGTTCATGGATAATGGTAGCCTCGATGATCTTACAGTTGGTGTCAGCAAGGATACTGGCATTTGTTCTCGTCTTCCCAGCAAACTCGGAGGATGGAACGTAGACTATGTTGGTGAAAGTTTTCAAGTGCCTTGAGGTGCTTCCTGTATGTGACCCATGTCTTACTGCCATATAGCTGGGTGGGGAGGACTACTGCTCGATATACATGCAGCTTTGTAGATAATTTCAGCTCCCTATAGCTGAAGACACACCAAAGGCTTGAGATGCACATCTGATCATGCTCAATCTCTTCATCGATGTCTGCGGTGGTGGGCAGGAGGGAGCCGAGATACCGAAATTGGGTAGCATTAGAGAGGGTAGTACCTACCGTTAAGCTGTATGGATGGTGGAGGTATGGCTGAACCTGGGGCAGGTTGAAAGAAAATCTGAGTCTTACGTACATTCACCTCAAGGCCGAAGTGCGCATACGCATCTGCGTAGGTGTTTAGGATCTCCTGCAGGTCGTGTTCAGTGTGAGCAACAAGGATGAGGTCGTCTGCATACTGAAGTTCAGTAATGGAAGCTGCCGACACCTTTGTTCGAGCCTGGAGTCGTCTTATGTTGAAAAGACAACCCCTTCACCCGGTACTCGATGTCCACCCCGACAGCTAAATTGGCACTAGCACGAGTAAGGAAGGCAGCCAAGAAAATGGAAGAGAATTGGTGCCAGTACCCACCCTTGTTTAACCCCTGTTTGGATGGGGAAGAACTCAGACTGGGTGTCGTTGTACAGGACACTGCCATTCATGCCATCGTGGAGTTCCCTCACAATGGCGATGGATTTTGGTGGGCAGCCAAAATGACTGAGGGTCCACCAGAGGGCTTCCCTGTTGACCGAGTCGAAGGCCTTGCTTAAGTTGATGATAAGTTGATTAAAGTCATGTACAGATCACGACACTGTTCTCTGGACTTTTCCTGTATCTGGCAGGCAGCAAAGATCATGTCAGTGGTGCCATGTGATGGTCTAAAAAAAACATTGAGATTATGGGAGGAAGTTTTCCGCCTTAGGAGGAATGGCGACGATCTTGCCAGCTACGGAGAGTAGCGAGATCCCACGGTAGTTGCCACTGTCTGACCGGTCTCCCTTTTTCTTATAAATATTAACAATGGAAGCGTCTTTAAAAGCTTGAGGGATTTCCTCCTTTTTCCATATATTCTCCAGGAGAGAGTGGAGATGGCTGGTAAGCAGAGGTCCTCCTGCTTTATACACCTTGGCTGGGATTCCATCAGGTCATGAGGCTTTGTTTTTTCATCTGTTTGATGGCAGTAACTACCTCATCCAGGGATGGAGGATAGCTGAGGTGGGTCAGCTCTGGATGCTGAGGGACCTGCTGGGTAGACAGGACACCCACATCGGTGTTTCAGTTGAACAATGAATAGGAGTGCTCTTTCCAGCGCTGAAGGCCTCCTTCATCTTTAATTATGAAGTTACCGTCAGATGAGTGGAAGGGGGGGCTGGGCCATGAGTGGTTGGCCCATAAAATGTTTTAATGGAATTGAAAAATTCGCACATCTTGTGCTGATCTGCAAGTTTTTGTATTTCACATGCTTTATTTTTAAGCCAGTCAATCTTTAGAATGCGAAGTTCCTGCTGGGCTGCGGTTTTCTTCTTGCGGAAGGTATCAGCTTTGGTCCGAGACTGAGGGTTGTTCTGCCAGTCAGTAAAAGCAGCACGTTTATCGTCGATGAGTACTTTCATTGCCGGGACATTTTCATCAAACCACATCCTGGTGTATTCTTTTGATCTGGCCGAGGGTCTCTCTGCAGGTTTTTGTCATGCCAGTGTTGAGAGTATCCCATTCGGCACTGGGATTCACGTTGTTTGCTGTTGGGTTAATTAAAAGCCCATGTTCGAGCTGCTCTCTGAAAACATGTGCTACTGCTGGGTCCCCCAGACGCTTAGTATTAAAACCTCTTCTGGAGGCATTCTCCTTTCGCCATTTTAGGGCGACGTGAAGTGAGAGCTTGGCTCAAACAAGTCGATGATCAGTGTCACAGTGGTCTCCTTGCAACAAATGTCCATTAGGCAGGGTCACGGTAGTGGTCCCAGGAGCTGATGGTCTGGTGCGCGTGTCTTGGGCAATAGCCCAACGCTGGGAGTGTTATCGCCGCTGGTTTATAAATGCTGGTGTCCGAGTCACGCATGGCACGGGTGATGAGGACATCTCGGCGATCTCTTTCTCTGACAATGATGCAGTCAATGAGATGCCAGTGTTTGGATTGTAGTTGTTGCCACGAACCCTTGAACTTGTCAGCCTGCCGAAACAAGGTATTGGTGATAGTGAGGCTGTGTGCAGCACGCTTGCTGCACACAGCCTCACTAGGCCGTTGGCATTACACTTGCCTTGTCCATTTCTCCCTATGGTTCTCTGACAAATGTTAGCATCTCTGCCAACTCTGGCATTGAAGTCGCCAAGGAGCACAACCTTGTCTTCTCTGGGGATAGAGGTTTAGCACTCTGTCAAGGTCGGCGTAAAAGGCCTCCTTGATATCATCCCCTGCATCCAATGCTGGGGCGTATGCACTGATGAAAAAGTGATTCAGTGGGACTGAAGCGTCATGAGGCGCTTGTTGATCCCAATAGGCATTTCAGTTAGCCTGTGTAGGATGCGTTGGCGAATAGCAAAGCCAACTCCATAAATGAGGTTTCTCTCCGTAGCAGGTTTACCCTTCCAGAAGAAGGTATAGACAGATCCCATTCTGTGAGCTGGCTTTCATCCGAGAGCCGGGACTCACTGATGGCTATGTCGATGTTATACCTAGCCAGCTCTTTTGCCACAAGGGCAGTTCTTCTTTCAGGACGTTCATTTGTGCCAGTATCCAGAAGGGTCCTGACATTCCATGGAGCGACCATAAGAGGTTGTACGTTTGTTTTTGTTTGGATCTGTGATTTTTACTGTTTTCGACTGCATAAGGATGACCTTACTGTGTGCGGTTGCCAAGTCAGGTTGGGTTTTAGGCAGGCTATGTATGTTAAGGGCACATTTTCTAGCCCCCTCCCCATGTGGGGTGAGCAGAGTGGCCCCTCGAAAGGGCTGCTCAATCGTACAGACAGGACTGGATTGCATTGCTGCCTAGATCCCAGTGCATAAACGACCATCTTATCTTTGCCGCCCATGAGTAGAGTTGTGACCAGAGAATCCCGGCAGTTATCTCTGCCTGTCCCCATCGCCACTCGTCCATCGCCATCGGACTTTTGGGGTTATAGGGGTTTTGATGATGATAGGGAGTATGATGAGCTGGATGATTGATGCACCTGAGTTGATTTATGTGGTGAGGCAGGAGCATAGGCTGTAACCACACATCTTGGCTCTCCCTTTTCCTGATCTAGTGGTGCAAATGTTGCAACGACTGGGGAGAGGGAGAGAGTTGTAATTGATTGCCGATAGCCCAGTTTGCCGAGTTTCGCCTTAGTAGCCTGTCCATCAGGCATTGCCTTCGTCCCCCAGTGTAGTCGTTGGGTTTCCACGGTGGTCACCTCTTCCGCCTATACCGCCGTTGGAGGCTTGTTGAGCTCTGTAAGCATGTCTGCCTGATGCGGGGCTCCACAGCAGATTTTTAGTTCGGGGTTTACTCCCGTAACCTACCAAGGTTAATCCGCAAGGCAGCGGGGCAATGGCTGTTAGGCGTCAGAATGTGTCCACATGCCAGTGGGCCTATGTGCAGTCCCTTTGGGGCCCACTGCTACTCCGAGATCCCCTGCTGGTCTAGCCTGGGCCTACGAGGCACTCAGTTACCGTGTGTTGCCACGAGGAGCACAACAGGAGTCTTCATGGTGAAGAGGCTGTGTACTGGCAGGGGAACACTTCTGCAAGTTGCTTCCATGTTCGCCACGAGGGCTAGCCAGTGGCGGCAGCTGAAAGCGAGAGGGAGCAAGCAGTGCTTGCACCTTAACACTAACATAGTGCTACCACACTAGACGCATTTCACCACCCTGTGCACGCACTCACACACACACACTTGGTGGTGCTCTCCTCTCTCTCTAACACACTAATACACCATGAAATACTTTCTTTCTAATACACTAACACACACTCTCCCTAAATGCAGAAACTCTTTCTAACTCACTCTCTCTCGAACACATTATCCTTCCAACTCTCTCTAACCCACTCTGACATATACTCTCTCTCTAACGCACTTTTTAACTCACCTGGTGATGCCCTTTGAGGAGGTCCGTGAGGTAGGACGCGGGTCACTGCTACTCTTCACCTCCACCGTCTTGCTCTCCGGCGTGTGGTTGCTGCTGCTGTTGTAAGTGGTCGTGGATGTAGAGGACTTGATCCTTAACGAGGCGGAGCGGGTGAGTCTGGGGATCCTAGAGGAGCGAGAGGCAGTGCTGAGAGAGGATCCCGGGCGCTCCTCATCCAGTGGCGTGCAGGGTAAGGACGATAAACCAGAGGATATCCCCGACGCTTCCATCCCCAGGCCTGCAGGGGGACACAAACAAGGGCACCTGAGTTTGTTTGCATACGAAAGATTAATACTTCTGGTGATAGAATCTATTGAGGGATTCTAAGAAGGTTAACAACTTCCAGCTGACTTTATCTGATGGCTACCAGGGGGGAGGGGGTTGAGTTAGCTTAGGTTAGATTAGGTCAGGTCAAGTTAGGTTCGGTCAGGTTATGTTTGATTAGGTTAGGTTGTGTAGGGTTAGGTTAGCATTAGGGTGTTTAATCATCCTGTAAAACAAGCAAGGGGCTAATCTTCATGTGATCGCAATTTATAATAGCCAATTACACTACATGATAATATTATATTTATACAGTGCATCCATAATTTTCTTCTAAAAGGTTAAAGAGATTTTGTCATTTACACAGCTCGACCCTCGCAGGTGTCCCAGCCATTAAAGCGATACCAGCTGTGCCAGGAACCTCGTGACGTCACCAACTAAACATTCGAAAAACTGACAACATTTCCTTGCGTCACAGAAGACTCACGAGACGCAGTGAAATATGTATTCTGTACAGTACTAAATTAAAGTAATTCTAATTCTTGAAGGGGAGGTGACACTTGGCCCAGGATAAATATATACTGTATGCTGTATATACCCATGCGAGTTAAGTTCCCATATAATCTTGTTACCGTGATGTAGTACAAGAATGACAAAATTATTTTCACCGTCCATACTAAAGTCACAGATACTTACATCGCCCACAGCTGATGTAACGATGACAACACGATGACGAATCACACTCCAACTAGCACTACCACCGCCACACTGTTACATCACACAATCCCAAAACTTACCGTCACACCAGAACATTCTAACGTCACACTAATCGACATACGCCGTCACACCTCACGCTAACACCCCCCTCCCACCATCCTTCACCCGAGAGGAGTTCCGTGTCAAGGGGAAGGTTTACTCTGGCGTTTATTAGCGGTAAGTTCACCTGAGGATACGACCAGGTATAATTATAGGTGTGGGTGAGGAACAGGAGGAGGAAGAGGAGGTGGAATAGAGGTAGGAAGAGGAATAGAAAAAGGAGAAGAGGGACAAAGGAGGAAGAGGACGAATAGAAAAGGGGGGGGGGAAGGAGGAGGAGGAAGAGGAATACAAGGAGGAGGAATAGAAGAGGGAGAGGTAGTATACTATAATAAGCTCAATCATATTTCTTTCCCCTTCCTTCATTCTCTATCCCGAGTTAAAGAGTGATATACCATTAATACTGACAAAACAGAACATACCACGATATACCAGCAGCCAAACATACCACGATATACCAGCAGCCAAACATACCACGATATACCAGCAGCCAAACATACCACGATATACCTAGCCAAACATACCACGATATACCAGCAGCCAAACATACCACGATATACCAGAGCCAAACATACCACGATATACCAGTAGCCAAACATACCATACCAGTAGCCAAACATACCACGATATACCAGCAGCCAAACATACCACGATATACCAGCAGCCAAACATACCACGATATACCAGTATACCAGCAGCCAAACATACCACGATATACCAGCAGCCAAACATACCACGATATACCAGCAGCCAAACATACCACGATACCAGCAGCCAAACATACCACGATATACCAGCAGCCAAACATAAACATAACCCATGGTGCACCCATTTGTCTCAATGTATAACGTGTAGCCAAAGCCAGAAGTGTGGGGTACATAGAGGGAATGTGTGTTACTACACTGTGTGCTGCAGTGAAAAACACACTGTATGGCTAATGGCGTCCAATGTATACAGCCTTCTGCAGCTCACACACACAGGCAGGCAAAAACACACACACGGACACACACAAGGAAGCTAGCAGAAAAACACACACACACACACACAGGCAGGCAGGCAGGCGCGTGCGCGCACATACACAGGCAAGCAGGCGCGCGCGCGCACACACACACACGCAGGCAAGCGCGCGCACACACACACGCAGGCAAGCACGCACGCGCGCACACACAAAATGGTAGAGTGAAGTTAATGAAATCGTCTCTCTCTTACCCTTTTCTCACCACTCCCTGGAGAGAGAGAGAGAGAGAGAGAGAGAGAGAGAGAGAGAGAGTTACATCAACCTTACGACAAAAAAAAAATTATACAAAACACGGGATAACCACACTGACCCAATGACCTTTTCGGGGTCAAGCCACACCCTGGTTGAGACAAGTGACCTTATCACGGCGGGTACAGGCACTGAGAGGAGACGCAGGCTTAGGTGCCTCTCCGTATAAATACTGGCATTGTTTGTTTACATAACTGTGAGCACTGCCTTTATGATGCTGTCAACACGTGAGTAATACTGTACCTGTATTTTATGCTTAATTCTGTACCTAAAGTATCACGTCTGAGTAAAGTTTCTCGTCATATACAGGAGTCTTGTGTGTTGGTGTGTGAGTGCAGGCTGGTTATGTAGTAATGACTCTTAGACACGGATTCTCAAAGGTGTACATGTTAATTGTCTCCTCGTAACTGGAGACACAAGACTACCCGACCTGTCTCACAGATGACGTGGCAAGTATGGCGTCGAAACCTCATTAAGACTACCAACAAAACATACGTGATCGTCCCCGTGGTTAAGGAGCGCACTAGAGCCATCCAGTATGTTTCAAGAGACAAGACGGAACTGAATAAAAGTAAGAACATAATAATCTTGTGATGTATTTTACGATATTGTAAATAAGACTAAACAATAACTGTTATATACCAGGGATGCGAAAATGTTTGAAAATACACTTAGTTACAATATTTACAATTAATAATAAAGACAACAGCTCAAAATTCTTGCATAGCTTATCATCATCATCGTTGTGGTCGTTTTACAGATATTCTTCACGCTTGCCTGATTTAGCCGCGGTTACCTGATGGCAGCCGTCCATGCTGCACGGTCTCTTACAGTCTATCTTGTCAGCAGGGCCGGATTTACCAATAGGCCAAGTAGGCCATTGGCCTAGGGCCCACCGCTATCTGGGGGCCCACTGAAACTAATTTGTCGCGCAGCATGCCAGCGACCTTGTTTCAAGTGTACACCGAGTATTTCATTATTTAATATATTCACAACCATAAGGGCCCCTGTACAATAAGCATAGGGACCGGAGTATGGGGCCCACAAGTAGGTAAATCCGGCCCTGCTTGTCAGGTTCCTACCTGTTATTTCTTTCAACCTCTCACCGTGTCCCTTTTGGCCTACCTCTGGCTCTCCTCCTTTCCACATTTAGGTTCATGCACACCTCTTGACCTAATTGGTCTCACCCATCCCAACCTGGCTGAGCAAGGCTTCACCAATACTCACAATACCCAGTTCTGAACATGGCCTTCTATCTTTCAGTGTCATATTGCACACCCAGTCCGCCATCCTCGTTTCGGCTCACTTAAGACTGCAGTTTCTCCAGCCTTGCTGTGGACCCATGGTTACCTACACATACAGAACATTAATAGTCAGCAACATCCTGCAGTCTACCATCTACTCCACTCCCTCGTGAGTACCCTCCTTCAACACTCGTTGCACATTAATGAGTTGCTGCCAACACCTGTCTTGCTGACAGCACATAACGATTTTCCACTTTCCACCACGGGTCCCTCACCCACACTACTAATCAATATTTTTTTTTTTTGGGTCACTTTCACTCTCAGGCCCTTCGCCTCTGTCCCACTCTTATATTTCTTAAATATCTCCACTGCCTGCTATCAGCACTAAGTCATCAGCATACAATTTTCAGGACAGACCAGTCCTACGTCCCGTGATATTGCCTCCACCACCATGATATTATTCAACTTTGTTGGAAAATTATAAACATCCGAGGTCTAATCAATAACTATGGTCATTAATATCTGTAAAGAATGTAAACAAGTAACACTACAAAGCTAGTGATATATTTCCAGCTAACCCTGAGCAGCTGAACAATCACTTAACCGCTAACCTTGAGACGCAGCGCAATCCACTTTCATGAGGTATCAGTGGTAACTCCCGAGTCCTGATTTATTTATATTTTTTATGATTTATTTTTTTCCGTGTAAATAATATAGGCTAAATCTCTACATTATGAATTCATTTTATATTTAAAGCACGAATGATTTGGGCGCAATATTTATTTATTTATTTTTTCGTTTACCTTTTTGGCGCGAAAGGTTTGGATAGGCACTCGAGTTACTAATTTGTCTGTACTTTTCTGAAATATCCTCCAGTTCCTACAGTCCTCTTTACCCTGTGTGGCATGAACGGTGTTTTCCTCTCCTGTTCTACTGTCAATATCACAGAAAATGACCCCAGGAAAAAATAAAAGATTAAAGCAACAATATCAGCTCGGAGTGGATATTTTTGGCAACCCTCAGAAAACAAGCGGACGAAAATATTACGTTTGTGTATATTGTATTTCCTATAACCTAACCTAACCTAACCTAACCTATTACCTACAAAAAATAATAATAAACTTAAAATACGAATAAGTTTCCGCAATTAATTAACGAGCAAATACAGAAAATAAAACATTTCACAACCACAGACCAGTCAGTCGTGTCTCGCTCTCATTCGAATAAAAATACCCAGATGTGAATGTATATTGTATTTAAAATGTGGGTAGTATTTTCCACATGCTCCTGTATATATTAGGTATAAATTAATTAGAGGGAATTAGACTGGGTTAGACCAGATAAGCGTTGAGTTAGGTTAGGTTAGATTAGCGTTACGTTTGGTTAGGTTGTTAAATCATCAGGTGAAATATTATAAGTGTCTTAATTTCCTTTTTTCGCTGAGAACGATTTGAGGAAAGATATTCTTATTTTAGACAATATGGAGATGAAATCGTTTATTTTCATTTACACAAGAAATCACCACCCTACGTCTTTCATTTACACACGGCAGATATTGCCGAGTCTTCATTTACACAAGACAAGCACCAGTCTTAGTCTTTCATTTACACAAGACAAGCACCCGCCTACGTCTTCCTTCATCTTGGAGGT